TCATTCTGATTGGGTACAGGCTATGCAAGACGAACTCAATGAGTTTGAGAGAAACCGGGTTTGGAGACTAATTCCTACACCAAAGGATGCATCTGTGGTTTGTTTAAAGTGAGTGTTTCGCAATAAAATGGATATAGAAGGAAAAGTCATAAGGAACGAAGCGAGACTTGTGGTAAAGGGATACTTTCAGGAGGAAGGTATTGATTATGAGGAAACCTTTGCTCCAGTGGCAAGGTTAGAATCGGTGCAAATATTTCTAGCATACACTACACATAATAATTTTGAAGTCTTTCAAATGGACGTCAAGTGTGGATTTCTGAATGGGGAATAGGAAGAAACTGTCTATGTTGAACAATCTCGGGTTTTCGTGAATGAGAAGTATCCTGATCGTTGCTACATTCTGGACAAGGCAGTTTATGGTCTAAAGCAAGCCCCTAGAGCCTGGTATGAAACTTTAACTCGCTCTCTAAAAATGTCTAAATTTAAATAAGGTATGGTTGACCCAACCTTCCTTCACAAGAAATAAGGTGACCACTTGATGATCGTCCAAATTTATGTCGATGACAACATCTTCGGTTCCACAAATCCCAACCCAACAGTTGAATTCCAAAAGTTGATTGATACTAAATTTGAGATGAGTTCAATGGGTCCAATTAACTTTTTCCTTGGCTTGAATATAAGACAAGGACCAGAAGACATTTTTATCAATCAAGAGGTTACATGAAGACCTTACTGGTGAAGTTTGGTATGATGGGAGATTCAAAAGTAAAGGTTCCAATGGCATTCAGAACAAAGCTAACACCATCTCTGGAGAAACCGGTTGCTGATATGACCCTCTATCGTCAAATGATAGGGTCACAAATGTATCTAACAGCTAGTAGACCGTATATCAAGTTTTCTATTTGTTACTGTGCCAGCTTTCAGGCTAATCCACGTGAACGTCATATGATGGCAGTTAAGAATATCTTTAGGTATTTGAAGCGAACTTCTTCTCTCGGTCTATGGTATTTAGCAAAATCAGGCTTTTTTTGCTCAAACATTCTCCGATGCCGATCTTGGAGGATGTGGATTGGATCAAAAGAGCACAATTGGTGGGTGTCAATTTCTTGATGCCAAACTCGTCAGCTGGCAGTCCAAGAAGCAAACATGTGTATCTCTTTCCATAGCCAAAGCTGAATATATTGCTGCAACATCTTGCACTTCTCAGGTCATCTGGATACAAAGCCAACTTAGAGATTATGGCATGAATATGAAGAAGATTCCCCTTTATTGTGACTCAGAAAGCGCAATCTGTATTTGCGACAATCCAGTGTTGCATTCCAAGATGAAAAACAGCGCATTGCAATATCATTTCATCAAAGATCACGTAGAAGATGGAAACGTTGAAATTCACTTCGTTCGATCTACTGATCAGTTGGCTTACATTTTCACGAAAGCCTTGCCTGAAGCATCATTTAATAAAATACTCCAAGGATTGGGAATGATGGAAGCCAAACCTGTTCCAAATCTTGTTTTGCCTCATTAAACTTTGACAAGCGAAATAGAGCGAACACTCGGTCTATTTCAGTTCCGTTTTTTTCGAGAACCGAAACAAACCGAACACTCGGTCTATTTTGCTTCACTCATCCAAAGGCTAAATTTTGGGTTGTATACTCTGTACCCATTTGTACTTTAAGTGTTCTTACCTTTCTAACTTCTTTTCCATTTTTCTTTGTCTTCATAAATAAAAAAAGATTTTTATTTCTGTTTTTATTTCTTTTATAGTAAATTCAAAAATACAAAAGTATTTTTCCTTTTTGTTATTCCCTTTTTTCATAAAATTCAAAAACACAAAAATATATTTTTAGTTTTTATTTGTTTATTTTTTTTGTTTCTACCAAAATCATCTTTTGGCAAGGATAATGGATGCATTCACATGAAGTTGGGACATTTATAAATCTCTTTCTCTTTGTACTAGCTAAGTGTCCCTATAAGCATGCTACTGCATGTTGTCCAAAGCCTTAATTGACTTTTCAAGTGAAGCCTTAATGAATCGATATACATAAATCGTTTCTTCCCAATCAGGCTGCTAAATACACTTTAGTCATGAGCTACCTTACTCTTCTCATGGTAAGATAAGAGTTTTCTGCTCTGTCAATTTCATACAGCAAAGGTACCTTGGGTTCTTTAACCATCTCCACTCTTTTCTCCATTACTTTCGGTCCATATATATGTAACCCTTGAGACTCTCAGCGTTTACCACTGAGGTTTATGGTTACACAACATCTGTGTTAATGATCTTAGCTTCATTTCCGCACATTCTGAGTGAGACCCAAAATCCAACGCCATGAATGAATTGATGGTGAACAATCAAACATTTTAGTATTTCACCCATGATTTGACAAACCACTAAGGTGGTCTATACCTTGAATCTCTTTTATTTTTGCGAGATCTTCATGAAATGCTCTAAAACCAAGAAATCTCTTCCAAAAAGATCTAGTTTCGTTTTCGTTTTGAGATTTCTATTATTTATCTCCCAGTTACTGAAAATGCACAAACCTACTTGATGTTTTTGGCCACATCGGCCACACAAGTACTTCAATCATCTTTCGGTCTTATATCAACTTCTGTAGTTCGGTTGAAGCGAAAGCCACCCTTTAAAGCTAATATTGAAAATATGCCTTTGAATGCTTCTTAATAAGTATTTGATCGTACTTCAACGGGAAACCACACAAGCACTTCTTAGTGTCTCTTGACTCTAAAGGAAGAGATTCATGCCCAGGATCCACAATTTTGTGTCTTAAAGACAATACTAAACTCCCACATACATACTTTGCTGTATTTCTTTTCTTTGGAACTCTCTTGCACGGAAATCTATGATTTTCCAAAATTCTTGTTCGTTGTACTTATGGCAGATTTATTCTCATAAATATTTTGTTCTCTTCTAAATGTTAATTAACAACGATAAGGTGCATGTTGTTCTGGGATATGAAACATTGGAAGCAAGTTAATGCTGACACAAAACGTCTTGAGGATAAGAATTCAAATCATAAAGGCACATGAAATTTGAAACGTCCCTATCATCACACCGACTGACAACGTTTTGGGATGAACAGTTGTCACTTGCACTTTTTCAGGCGCCGTTTCTGAATTTGTCACAGAATCATCATTAGGATTTTCTCTCTCCTAGGAAATCGTATAAAGGTTTTTCGCACAACTCCATACTTACCACTTACAAAAACCTTTCCTACTTTCAAATGGTGATTCTTCTCCTGTTGTTCATACTGTTCATCGTCTTCAAGAACCTGCAACAATGGCTGATTCTTCATCCGCTCCAGATCAAACAACTCAATCTTTTCTCACGATCAAACCAAATCAAAATCTGACCCTGGATCCCCTTCAAATACGACTCTTATGTGCTACCAATCTTGGAATGTCTCAAGTATTCCCCACTGGTCACTGCCCTTACCAAAGCAGATCTCGTTCTAGTGATGCTACTGTCCAAAAGCTTATTCATCTGCAACATTCTTCAAGGAGGAGGAGAAGATTGTGTTTGAGATCTTCGATAAGAAAATATCAATTACAAAGGATAAGTTTTGCTCTCTTCTAGGGCTTACCTATGTTGATTCCATGGTTAACCCAAAATCTATCTCCAATGCTCAGATATTCGAGATGTTCTACAATATAGGGTATACTGATCTTCTCTCTTCTATTACAAAGTTCAAGAAGTCTTCTCTTCCACCTCAATGGAACGGACTGTACACCCTCCTCTTCAAAGCTTTTTCTGAGAGGGTTGATGGGTATGATTGTGCCAGCAAACTATTTATGACAATCATGTATGGCCTTTACCATGGGATTGATCTTGACTATAGATCTATGTTGTGGGTTCAGTTTGTACAGAGTCTACTTTCTTCTTCTTGGCATAACGAGATTTCATGTGGTTGTTTCTAGACTATCGTGGTGCAAATATCTATTGAGAAGCTCAATGTTCCTATAATGATGGATTCACTGATGGCTTCCATTGCCACTTTTCACACAACTAAGATTATAATTCCAGATAATTCCAAATTTTCCTTCATCGGATTGATTCCCGAGTCAATGTCTTGATGTGTTTCAAGTGCAAGTAAAATTATGAAGTCATACAAAAATCAGCAAGTTTCAAGACCAAGGATTATTACTCCTAAGATGAATAAGATGCTGGATGAAGTTGATGTTCAAAAGAAAGGAGGTCGGAAGGGCGAAAAAGTCAGGCAGGGGAAGGAAGGCTCCTCTTCTCAAGCTCTCATCGTTAAAAAGCGAAAGGGTACTGGTGCTGATCCCTCAGCTCCCAAGAAATGTAAGTTTAAACAGATGGCAGCGCTACCACCATCATCAAGCGAAAACGATTATGTTCCCCCTGATGAGGAATCGGTTCAGAAAAATGAAAGTGATGACTCTCAGTTTGATTCGGTGGTCTGTGGTCATTCACAACCACTTTCTCCGCACCAAGAGGTAAATCCTGATCCTAAACTTTCATCTCTACATCCTTCTCCATTTGGGGCAAAGATATCAGATTTTCCTACACCTCCCATTTCTCCACAACATCCAGTTTCCCTTCAAACTCATGGGTCTGAAGATGTACTTGGTGGAGAAGGTTTTGATTATGATACTTTTCACTATTGTCCTTTCTCTCTTCAAGGAGATAGTGACGACGATGGCCGTATTACCCAGAAGGATTTGAAGGCACTCAATGTGAAACTGGATTCCATCCTTCCTTGCTTCCTCTACTATATCTACCAGCACTGCTTACTCTCAGGATGCTGTAAAGGGTATTCTTAACACCCTTGTTACGAAACATGCAGTCACTCTTGATAAAGCCAATCAAGCAGTTGCAGATTCTTCTCAATCTTGCCTTCAAACGACCATAAAAGTTGATATCAATCTCAATGCCTCGTTATGCAAGGAATGAGAGTCTCTAGAAAAGTGGCTGTAGACAACACTGCTAAAGTGAATGATGCTATTATTAATCTCAATGCTTCATTATGCAAGGAACGAGAGTCTCTGAAAAGCTTCATGCTGATATTTCTACTAGCAATTCTAAGTTTCAGACATCTATTTCCTCAACTCTTTGCAAATTCCAAGAAGATCTGGCAGTTGAGAGAAAAATCATGAACGAACTTGCACGTCAAACCACTCAAGTGAAAACTCAGTCAGTTAAGCTCAAGCATGCACAGAAGGAAATTGATTATATTAAGTCTGAGCGAACCAGCATTAAAAGTTGTGTTAGTGATGTCAATTATTTGCTATCCAACCTCATCGAAGCCCATGATCCTGTTCTGACCATCACCATCCCAAGGCATCTTGCTGATAAACTTCGCCCTAAAATTGCTTTGTTGAACCGAATTAAGGGTGTTCCAGAGGTCATTGTCCTTCCAGAACAAGGGGGAGATCAGACAAATCAAACAGGGAGAAACCAAAGGTTGATAAAGGCAAGAAAATAATGGGTGATTCTGAGGAAGATGATGAAAATGAGAAGGAACAATTAAAAAGGAAAGCTCATGATCATGAACTTAATGAAAATGCTCGTATAGCGAGGGAGGCTGAAGAGAATGAGTGAAGGGAAACAGATGCTCACGATGCATTGGAATGCAAAAATTTGTTGTTTCCTCTGTGGACGTTGGAGAGAATGTTGTATGAAGCTGTTGAACTATCAAGTGTTCACTGGTTGGAACCAGTTGCTTTGTTTGACATGGAAAACACAAAGGACTCCCAATTTGACATGCTAATTACAAGAAGAGCTTTCGTGTTTCATTGTTTTGATAAAATAGCAGATGTTCCTTCTCCGGATGCCAAGGTTGACAGAGCTCTTATTGATTTTTACCTTACCTTCGCAAAACCTCAATATTCAACTTGGAGTGCTCAGAAGATCATAACAGTCAAAGTCATCGGACCCTTTCTATTTGACGGTTTCGTGAACATCAAGTTTAAGGCGACAAGGGGATCAAATAATTCTTTACACAAATTTTCTCTTGCTGATTTGCCAAATATTAATCCTCATGACTGGATTGTGTTACTCAACCTTCTGCTGACTGAAGAACGGAAATATGAACCAATCGTTGCTCATCTGAAAAGAATGTTGGGGTCATACATTTATGAAGTAGCGAAACCATGGTTTTGAAAACCGGACCGGACCGGCCGGTCCGGCCGATTCAACCGGGAACCGACCATGGTTTCGGTTTTTTAAGGCCTGAAAACCGCTTGTAAAGCAAACCGGAAAAAACCAGCGGTTCAACTAAAAACTGGCTTGGTCAAACCGGAAAAACCAGTGGTTTTTAATAAAATAAAAAAAAGTGTACTATAGAAAAATCCTAAAGGACCCACGATTTTATATAAAAGGACCACGGTTAGCTTTTTTAATTTCCTTGGTAACCCATTCTTTTTATAGAACTCCTAATCCCTCTTGCTTTTGTGTTTTGGCTGATGTGGGATTTGAGATGGTTGTCAAAAACACAAAGCAATCACTAATAATCCATGAATACTGCTCTTCCACGTTAACATATAACTTATTATTTTATTTTATTTTTTTAGAAGGATGTATAAACTTATTAGAACATAAATCGTGATGTTTTATTAGAACATATATTAGAACATAAAACTTAAATGTGTTGTTTTGTTTTAAATAGTGTATATATATATATATATATATATATATATATATATATATATATATATATATATATATATATATGTATGACGTCATCCGGTTCATCCGGTTTTTGGGACCGGTTCGACCAGTCGAACCAATTGAACCATCGAACCGGTAAGACAGACGGTTCGATGTCCGATCCAGTTTTCAAAACATTGAGCGAAACTTGATGTTGAGATTTTCAGGGTCATGAAGAGAAACCCTACTGTTAATCCAATCGGAAAAGCCAATGATATGAGCGAAATGATATTGGGAAAGATTGATATGGCTCACCTAACTGTGATGTTTCAGCAGAGGACTGATGTTGCTGGAACCTTTCAAAAGTGTCTTTTTGCTCTGCCTGACAAGCACTTGTTTTCTATGTCTTGTCTAGAGCATGTTTTGGAGATCATCCCCAAGTGACACCTAAATGATGATGCTGCTAATAGACATTTTAATGATATGATTCGCTGGGACATCTTGTTTCGTAGGACATTGCTTGCAGTGATTCCTAAACTTTTCAAGACTGTTAAAAAGACACCACAGTGAAGTTCTCTCTCCCAAATGACATAAAGGGGGGGGGGGATTTTAGAGGATTTTGGATTGCGTCTTTGGGCCTTTTGATTGGTGTTCATTATAGTCACAGTAATGGGCATGTCCAACCATGTTTTATTTATTATGGTTAGAGTATAAATGGTGCATGCAAGCATCATGTTGATAAACTTTTGATAATTTCTTTCATCGTATGGTAACCCTAACGCAACCTCTACAATAACAGTTCTTCATAGAGCTCTTCTGAGGCTGTGGATTATTAATCATTCGACAACAATCTTGAATCATCTTTTGTTCTTATTTAATTTACTGTCTTAGTTTGCTTGTTAAGAATCTAATCAATCTCAAAGTAATTTTAGTATCATCAGGGGGGAATACAAGTCAAATTGGTTTATTACACAAGTACTTACTTGTTTCATCTTTATGTTGAAGTATAAGGCATTATTTGCACAAGATATGATTATCACTAGCTTTTATACAATTATTTGTGATATATTTGTTTTGAAATGCAAAACTAACAAGAACAAAACATATTCTATTTTATAAAAATCATATTCAAAATTATGGTTTGTAAAACTACATGGTTTTACAATCTTTTTACTAAAAGATAGTCTTTCCAATAAAAGGGGTTACATTGTAGTTATTGTAATATTTTGGTGGGTTACAACCCAAAAATATGATGTTTTGGTCATATATTTTGACACCAAGATAATAACTTTGTATTTATATAAAAGATTATATAAATAGTTTTAACAAACACAACAAGATAAACTATAATTGGTATAGTTTGGGAGTCACAAAACTACACTATCATATCATAAGAATCAGATAGTTATTTAAGGCATAATTATTTCATTTACAAGAAAAAGGAGTTTTTTAGTACACGTAAATCGACTAATATAATATTGTGAGACAGTTAGCTTCACCTTACCTACCAGAGTACACGTTAAAGTCCTGAATTATAACTAGAGTCTCTTGTAGGGAGAGCGTGACACTTGTGTATAGATCTATACGGGATTGACAACCCCGCACCTAAATTGTTAGCTACAGTTAGACCAGTAGGTCTGGGGTGACAAATGTCGTAACAGTTCCGACGCCCGAAGCACGTCGTTCAGGCCACTAGTCGTATTAGTATGGTTATAATAACTCACATAGAGTATCGACAACACATTTGATTTACGTGGTAACATATATTCCAAGTAGTTTTATATAATGATAAAACTTCATTACATCATTTTACAGTACAAGATTACTTACATTTATAGTCTTGGGACTTAAGACTTACAACTCATGTTTAAGAAAATATTGGATTTTCTGGAAGTACACACTATCATTTTCATGAAACAGTTATAAACCATTTTCATACAAAATGCTTATGAACTCACCAACTTAATTGTTGATACTTTTCAAAATCACTTGTATTCTCTGGAAATCAGTAAACAGGTAACCACAAGAGTTTTTGGTGGATGGGACATCATTGCATCTTGTTATTCATTTTTGTCACCTTTCATTCGACATTATGTAATCAATGCTTGAGTCCAATGTAAACATATTAAATATTCAATGCAATGGTTGTAATGTTTTGATTCATTTATATTCAATTATTATGATACTGTACAATGACGACATTAGCCCTCGGACGTTTCCGCCGTTCCGGTTCGGGGGTGTGACATGGTGCCGCATAACAGATAGGAAAATAAGTTAGACATGATCTATTTCTAATTTATTATCCAATCAGACCACATTTTGAGTGTTAGGCTTTCTATGCATCGAATAAACATTAAACCACATTTTAAGTGTTGGGTTTTCTATGCATCAACTACACTTTAAACTAGATAGCGGAAAAATCAATCTATGGTATACCTAAGTGTACATGTGACCTAGGATCTAAGTTTCATACTAATTACAGATACTCTATGAAAACCACAAATACAAAAAAGGACCATATACCTTTCTTGCAGCCAATGAACTTCTAGCTTGCGCCCTTCTATGTGCCAATCACATCTAGTTTCGGAATACCATAATTTTATCTAGTAGATATTTTAGGCTTCAAAGGAATAAAGTGTAGACCTTATTTAACATTGATATGATTGGTTAAGTGATTTAAGCTCTCGAATTGTGTTTTAGAGCCAAATAATAGAATATAAAAGCAATATTGGGACTCTTCGGTTAAGTTCAGTATTCATTAAGTCAAATGTAATTCGATAGAATTATGAGGCTTATTAATACCTTCACATGCATATAAAGATCACAAAAAACAAAGTTACAATGACATTTGAAGTTGGAATTGATCTGGAGGAAAACCCATCACCACGGGGTGGTGAGTAGGCCACAACAACATAGTGATCACCACATGGTGGTCATTGTGTAGCCTAATCCCATGATTTATAGAGAATTTTCTCAGTCTGCATCACATATGGATCTCCTTGGGAGCAACCCTAGCCTTCATCTTCATCATTTGATCTCTTTATCTCTCCTTGAACCTATTTTGGGTGCTTTTGGTGGTGATTTGATTAATCTTGAAGGATCAAGATAGTTGTTTTGGTTGCAAGGAAGGTTGTTTCATGTTTGGATTCATTCCTCCATTCACACGGCAAGCTCCTTCATGCAACATACCACAGTTTCCACATCAGCTATGACCCTACTAGCCCCAAAAACAAGTATTCTAAGTCTGGGACTTGTTAGCTTATACAACTACAATTTGGACCTGTGGAGCTTTGCTCTTTCTCTAACGCTCCAACTCAATCTCCTGTTTTTGGACCGAATCAATCATCTTGCAAGTCGTCATGCTAATAAACCACCTGATGTTAATCCTCAGTATGTCATGATACTTCATCATCCCCATCTATTTATCATCAACGTATTGCAGAACCACCAGTGCTCTTTCCTAAACATGGTGGTGATCTTCACCATAGTCTCTGCAGTCTACGTGAGAGATTCAAACTCACGAGCCAATTGATGTACCTCAATCTCCGATACATACTCTACCTTAAAAACCAACCTTGCTTTGTTTCGAACCACATTACCTTCTTTGTCAGTTTTATTTTTAAAAATCCATTTTAAGCCTTTAACCGAGACATCATCAGGTTTAGGAACTAATCACCAAACCTTGTTTCTTTCGAATTCAGCAAGTTCAGATTGCATGGAAATAATCAAATCAGGATCTTCCAAAGCAGCCTTAACTATTTTCGGTTCGAATCTTAATATAAAAACATTAAAAATGCAATATTCTTGATGTACATTTAATATCTCATTATTTTCATGAAATTGTGCTCTTGTCGACACTCCAACTTGAGGATCACCTAAAACTTGTTCTTTAGGATGATTTCATGTCCATCTGTCCAGTGATGGATATGTAGGATCGAAATCCAAAGGTAAATCGTCGAACATTCCACCCGTTTCAGTACCTTCACCTGCATTAGACACATTATCAAACACATCATGAAAAATATCAGTTTGTGCATTTGAAATAGTAGGTATAAATCCATTTTGCTCCCCCTCGATAAATGGATTAAGATTGTGATGCTCCCCATCGACATCAACATTCGAATGTCCATGCTCCCCCTTGTCATTAGCATTCGAATGTCAATGCTCCTCCTCAACTTGATCACTTTGCAATTTCGGTTGTCTTTCGACATGTATTAAAGAGTTGGAGGTAGACTGTAAATCAACATTTTCCCGAGCTACTGTCGAATCATCAGAATGTTTTGATACTTCGGGAAGCTGATTATCATCAGCATGAACCTTTGCATCTATTGCCCTGTGAGGATCACCAAAAATTAAGTCATAATCAAAATCAAAAGAATTAGTAATTGATGACTCATCATTTGTTTCTTTAATAATAGGCTTTTGCTTAAAAGTCTTATCTACATTTTGACAAAATGATCATGGAAAGTTAGATTGATCTAGGTAGGAATCAGAGGTAGAAGGTGTGATAAAGGCTGTGGGTAAGTCGTAGCATTCCCTAGCAGCTTAGTAGCGGAGTTGGAGTGAGGCCCTTACCTCTTAGTGATCTTGGTAGGAATCAAGAATGGGTAGTAGATGAGAATAATATGGATCTTGCCTGCATAGTCCTAGAGATGTGAGACCTTGGCAAAGGCTGCTCCAGGATGTAGTTAGGTGAGACCCGTGGGCGAGGCCCGTTTGAGAGTAGCAGTATAGGTGAGACCTGAGAGTAGGGTTGCTTAGTAGTATAGTCGGGTGGGACCCGTGGGTGAGGCCTGTGAGTTTTAGTAGTACATGTGGGATCTGGTAAGGACCTTAGGGCCCAGTTAAGGGATCGACGATCCCAGGACTTATAGCGCCAGAATGGTAGAGTAGAGGGGGTGGTATTAGGTAGCCTAAGTTTCCTCGGAAGTCGATGGGAGCGACTAGAAGTTTGTGTTGGGTGCTAGCGACCGGTGGGAGCCGGTAATCCAGATATTGATAAGATCAGTAGGGACCAGGGTGGTCTCGGTTCATCCGGAAGGCAGAAAGGGGACAACATAAATTTTTAGTCAGAGGCAGTGATGGTAAGCAGCCTATGGTGGAATACAATTATTTGATCAAGGGGTGCTCAACACTAAGTCATAATAGTGAAAAGTGTCCAGTGGAGACTAGCGATAACGGCCCGTACTGGAAGAAGCGAGAGTAATGGATTTGGTGAGGGATAGGACCTTCACAGTTACAAGGGAAGTAGCTGGTTATAGAACGTTGCCTTGGGGAGGCCAGAAAATGCACAAGGAAAAAGAGGCGAACCCCCTAGGGTGTCCAACATAAGTACTCGGAGAGTACCAGAAGGTTTGTTAGTCGAGTAAGTGGTCTTTCCAGAATGGTCAGGCTTAGGGTTAACCCGATAATATTATCCGCAAGGATTAATGTTAGTCAGAATG